ATTGGACTTTGTGCATGATACATGAAAAAGGTGGTGTGAATTTTGGTGTAATTAGCATTCTGTTGGGGCAAACAGAGGGAGACCACGAAGGATGAATTGACACAAAAGGAAAACATTTCAAAACACATATCAAGACTGCATTAGTAATATTTGTCTGTTTTCATGTATGTGTGTGTATCCTTGCGTGTCTAAATAAAGTTGTCTTCAATAATTATTTGTTTATGAAAGCTTTTGGACTAGTTGTGAAGCATCCAAATGGAAGTAAAAGTTCTTTGCTTTAGAAGGCATTTTCTAATTTCTAGTTCAGTTGTACAGTATCAATCTTGAGCACCCTCTGCTGTCTGAATTAGGCTATGAATGAGATTATGTCCAAGGATCACACGAACACTTATTATGCTTTTAATACATTATTTGACATTTTTCTGTAAAACAGTGAAATAGTTGACAGGGTGAGTTATAAACTAGGGTGTTGAAATTCAGTTAATATTTTTTTGTAAAACATTTTTAAGAGTAGTTGTACTTTTTATGATTCATCCCTTTATTTGTTTAACCAGCTGTTTAGCATCATTATATGGGTTTCCTTCACGTAATTCCTATTAAGACAGACAGACAGAAAACAGACAGACATTCTTTCAATACATTTTTCTGACTCATTTAAATTAGCAATGCTATTTTAGCGATAGATATATATATATATCCCTAAAAGCTGCTGTTCTTCGTTTCCCCAAAGGTTTGAACTTAGATTAATACAACATTGCCCTCAAACACAAAATGTATCATTAAATTCTAGGTTTAGACAGTTGATGAATAGTTCAGAATACATGGAAATAGATCTGCTGATGTATTATTTTGCAGCCAAATTATTTAAAAAATAAACATCTATTCCAGTAAGTACCCAGACTGAATATCCTGTTGTCAAGTTATTTTGGATTTATGTCTTCTTAAAATATAGCAAGATTTTTTTTATTTGTTCTAATAACTGTAATCCAGTACAGAAGGTTTGGAACAGATTTTTAGTTGTCTGGGAAGCATTCCCATGCTCAGCCATTGCTTTCCTTTGCAATTAAATAATTGACATGCCTTGGGCAAAATACAGACAATGATAAATTTTTGGATTTTCTCTTTTACTTTGTATGTATTAATCAAAAGGAAAATGATATTTGAACTACAGATGAAATATGCATAAATATGTATATATATTTTATATCAAGCAAGTACAAACTAATAAAGCCATAAAGTTGATTAAAAAATCTGCCTAATTTAAATGATAATTACAATTTTAATGTACTTTTTATATTTTAGTATTAGTTTATTAATGGTCTTTGTTTTGTATGATAGCTGTCATATTCAGTAAAGTATTTTGCTTCTGTGCTTCAGAATTGCAAGATATATAATAATTCATTAAATCTTTGGGGATGCTGAGATTGAAATAAGCATGATATTAGATTATAATAAGGTGTATATGTGTGTGTATATATTTCTGTGTCATTCAGATTTTTGACATGTCTGTCTATATTATTCTTGTTTATGACTATATTATATCCATATGATAAACATGCAAATATTTTTAAAAATTGCTTAGGTTTAGTGATAATTTCTCTAAATAAAAAGTAGATTATTTAGTTAGAATATGCTTAGTTAGAATGCTTCACTTTTGCAGAACAATTTGATATTAGGATCTAATCAATATATTTAAAAGTAAGGACTGTTGATCTCAGCTTTAATTAGTTCTCAGTAGAAGTCTATATGATTATGCTCTTAAATGGTTTTGTTTTTACATTGGATGGCCTTTTACTAACTTCCCCTTTATTATTTATGTCATCAAATATTTTTTTTATTTTCTATTGTTTCTTAATTATCACACTAGCTTTATCATTCAGAAATTAAAACCTTTGCTCATTCAATTATTTGAAATAATTGAATAATTAGAGAACAGATATTTCCTTGTTTAAGCAAAGCAATACCCTACTTACCCCTTATTGTTGGTATAATCCATTCTTTTACTGGAAGTGATTAGCTATTTAAAACTTGGTACATAAATTAAAGAGGATCTAAATGGATATGTGATTGTTGCCATTAGTAGCATTTTAGATTATAGAGGCAATTATTGTGTTCATTATTCTACAACACCCCCTTTACAAAACTATTCTGTTTTGTACAAATTTTCCCCAAGAGATTAAAAATATCCAGTTTCAAACTTCATTTTGTCATCACAGTTGTTTCAAACAACACAAACATTATAGTAAAAATTTTAAAAAATATATTCTACAGGTATTGAAGATTGAAAAAAATTGTACTAGGATTAAATTTGAATTAAATTTAATTTTGATGAAGTAATTTGTTTGTTTTTGATAATTTAATACAGCATCACATGTTTTTGTAACCATTACAAAATTAATTCCTTTTTAGTATGGAATATTGGGACAAATAACAACTTTTACAAATTTAGACAATATGGCATGGTTGCTGTTTGGCATATCAGAAAACTTTGTGTGTACATAATAGAAATGATAAAACCATTAACATAAGTGAATGGAAGAAGTGTTAGTATACATAACCAGTCATGTTAGCTAAGCAGATAAGTATCTCTAAAACCTTTTACATTAATTTTAAAGAGCACATAGACTTATTGAATGAGCTCCAAATTTGCATCCAAATCTATCTCCATCAATTAGGGAAGTTTTTATCCTTTTGGCTATCTACATATGTATACTCAGAGACTATGCATAACATTTGGGTCCATAAATGCCATTTCTCAAAGGAAATTTTGTGTTCTTTTCTGTCAGGTTTTCTGTCTTGGCTTTTACAGTCATTCAGAACTACAATGCATCAAGAAAAGTGTGAAGTACTGGTTATGCATATTGCAGGACAGTGATTCTTTATTGTATTACAAAAAAAAAACCCAACTCTAGAAGGCCAGATTAAATCATTCCTTTCACTTTTTAATGGGATTTGGATGAATAGAGTAAAATATGCACTTTGCATTCATTGATAGCATCTTTAGGTTGAGGTAATTGAATCTTTTTTCCCTGACTGAATGAATAATGACTTCATCTGATCCTCAGTGAGGCCTGAAACTTAGACTGCCTTTGTCAAGGCAAAAAGATCAGGGCTTTGAAACATGCTCTACTTCCCTGGCTTAATTTTTCTTCATTTTAATCCAGAAACCTATTTTTCTCAATAATTCAAGCATAAACTATGTAGCAGTCGAAGCAGCGGAAATTGTAAGATATTTGTTCTCGTTGTGCTTGCTTTTTAAATGTAGTTGATAAATCAGCCACTGTGGTCTTCAGCTGCCGAATTCTCTGGGGAAGACACTGCCCATAAACAAGAATGAATTCAGAACTTTCCAGAAGTATTTCAATGCTATTCTTACACATTTTTTTCTCCTTTTGGACTATTATGTCTTCTTACTCTTTTTAAGAAACTAAATTTTCTCTAGTATTTCTGTGTGATATCATTATCTTGGCTATCTTATTGTAAAAGTGTCATTTAGAACTACATATTCAAAGCATCAATGGTGTAACCTGTTCCTGAATTAGTATGAGTTTATGATTTTTGAATTAGAATTATTTGAATTTTTTTACTTTTGTAAATCCTTTTTAAAAAAAGGTAGTGGTTCAACATCAAATATATTAATTCAAGCTAAGATAGTTAAACTGAATCTAATTAATTACATGTGAAACTAATCTATTACACACATTTCACCGTATGCTGTTTTAGTATAACCCAAACTTGAATCAGTATATTTTATTGAAATCATTTAACTCTTACATTAATTATGGTTTCTATAATAATCCAAGTGGATACGGAAGGTAATAAACTCTGCTAGGATTGAGTTAGGTTAATTGGGGGGGGGGGTGTAATTTTTGACATTGAATGAAGTTTAAGGTTGGAACCAGGAATAAAAACAATCAGTAGAAATATGCTTCTGTATTTTTGGATTTGTATCTCCTTCATGTGGCTTGGGAACCATGAAAGAATAGCAGAAGCAAAGGCGAGCAAGTTCAGTCTGAACTAATTGCATAGGGAATCATAGTATAGATTACTTTTATTACAGGAAAACTGCAATCCATATGTAAGTTGAATTGTGCTTCAGTTTCTTGACTCTCATCCAGTGCACTGGTAGGAATAGGATACAATTAAAAATACCCACTGCTTTACCCAAATTAGTTGAAAAGAAGAATAAAGCTGGTAGCCACCTCCGTGTCAGCACAACCACATTCCAAAGCAATATCTCTCTGGAAATTTAATGTAGATACAGTATCCCATAACTCATGCTATAATGTGAAAAGGATAACCATATAATCTCTAATTGGTCGTACAAATATGTTTCCATGTTTTTTATGAATGATAAATCTCAAATTGCTCTAATATTTAACCCTACATCTATTTAAATTCTTGTGGAAGTATAAAGATCTTAGTACCCTTTATTCACTAATATATAAAATATTAGTATAATGATATATACAGTATTTAAAATTGTATTTTCAGGGACTTTTAAAGTTAGGAATTCAATTAAAAATCATATTATGTATATAAAACAAATTTTAAAATGATGAAATCGTGCCATTACTCTTATCTATTATTCTTGGTTAAATAGACTTGCTCAAACAGAGCTATAATTTTTAATAAATGAAAAAGTCGCAAACCAATTTATAAAGACACAAAGAAGCCACATAATATGTTATTATCCAAACATTATACATATAAATTTTATATTTAGCACATATATATAGCTTGTTATAAGCTATGTTAACAGGAAGCAAACCCACATTCACTAGCACTGATGATATTATTCTAGTCAGGTAATGAAACATCTGTAAGAAAACAGCCAAACTCAGAGAGCACCAAGGGCTCCATAGTTCAACCTTGAGCTACACATATTCTTCTCTATTCTTGTAATTGTTTATATTTAGATATTTGAAATAAACACAAAATGTAGAAATGATTTAGCTATTTAGCAATATAGTTATTAAATATATATTGCTTCCTTTTAGGTTGGTTTGCTGGATCTTGAACTGAATCAACTGACCAAAGCACTATTCTTGGCTCTAGTTGCACTTTCAGTTGTTATGGTAACCTTGCAAGGATTTGTGGGACCATGGTACCGCAATCTTTTTCGGTTTCTTCTCCTTTTTTCTTATATAATCCCAATCAGGTATGTATAAAATGAAATAAAATACAGATAATTTTTTTAAAAAATGTAGTTACAGTTTTTATTGTGAATAAAATTGATCTTAACAAGAGGATGCTATAGAAGATATACTATGTACTCTGTTAAAGGATCATTGTATAAAACTCCATGCTGTTGTATCTTTTATTTATTTTGCTGGAATAGTTCATCTATACTATACAATATATTTAGTTGCATTAATGTATTTTATATCATAATCTTACCAGAAAATACAATTTCTGGAAAGGTGTATATTTGGAAGGTTTTATTTTGTTTAGATACCTTAATATTTTATTGAATTAAGAATGTCTGTGCTTTACTTTCAGTTACATTTAAAAATGTTTAAAAAGGAATAAAAGATATTATAATTAGAATCTTACGGTTTTCAAAAATAGTTTTTTATTTTATTAGGCAATGGTGCTTAATTTTGAATCCTTTTGACCGTTCAGTTTTCTGCTTAATATGACCTAAAATATGATCTGTTTTCCACATAGTCCCAAAATTAGAAAAAGAGCACCCAGTTAAACAGTTGTGTCAAAAACATTATATTTGTTCATTTATTTATTGAAGAAAATGATCCAAAGCTACATATTTGTGCATAGCAAAAGTGAACTTTTGCTTTCATTAACTGGTGTGCCTTCATTGGACAGCAATAACTGCAACTAAAGCTTTCTGATAACTTTTTAAATATTTAATTTCCCATCTTTATTATTTTTATAAATAACTCAAGGTAGCAAACACACCTGTACTCCCACCTCCTCCTATGTTCCCCAGAACACCAAATTTGTGAGTTGCATTGGGCTGATCTAAGGTCACCCAGTCGGCTTTAATGCCTAAGTCAGTAGTAGAACTCACAGTCTCTTGGTGTCTAGCTTAGTGTCTTAACCACTATACCAATTTGGCTCTCTACATATTTGATCAATCCTGCACATAACCTTAGAGGAATTTGGCTCAATCTTACAGAACAGCTTCAACACAGAACTGCTACAGTACCTCCATAACACTTTTATAGGGTTAAGGACAGGACTTTGATTTAGCAATCCAAAACATTAACTTTCTTCTGCTTTAATCATTCTTTAATCATACAGCTTGTGTATTTGAGGTCATTATCTTGCTGCATGACCCACTTTCTCTTGAGCTTCAGTTCATAGACAGATACCTTGACATTTTCCTGTAAAATTTGTTGGTACGATTCAGATCTTGTAGTTCCATCAATGAAGGCAAGCTGTCCTGGCCCACAGGCAACAAACCAACTCCAAACCATGATACTGCCACCACCGTGTTTTATAGATGGAATAAAGTTCTTATGCTGGGATAAAGTGTTTGCCTTTCCCCAGTATAACATTTTTCAATCTGTTTTGGTTTCATCCATTCACAGAACATTCTTCCAGTAGTCTTCTGTTTTTTTTGCAAACTGTAGGCAGGTAGCAGTGTTATTTTTGGAGTAGTGATTTTCTCCATAAAACTCTGTTTTATTATTCAGTGTTCTTCTGATGGTGGTGTCATGAGTCTGATATTCACCAATGCAAAACAGGCCTTTCCTTAGATCAGGGATCCTCAACCCCCAGTCCATGGATTGGTACCGTGCCGCGGCATGCCGAACAAGCAAAGCCTCATCCGCAGGATGCAGGCAGCACACAAAACCACACCCCATCCGGTCCACGGAAAAATCTCTCTCCACATAACCGGTCCCTGGGGACCTCTGCCTTAGATATTACCAGGGCTTTTTTTGTCATAGAATGCCCAGAACGGAGTTCCGGCACCTTTTTTGGATGGAACCTTGTTTGGTAGGCAAGGCAGGTTATATGACGTGTGAGTTCCGGCACCTGTTGTTTTTTTTTTAACAAAAAAGCACTGGATATTACCATAGGTTTGTTTGAGATCTCCCAGAGTATGACATGCCTTATTCTTGATGTGATCTTGATTGGTCAACTCTAACAGTAGTATTGAATTACCTCCATTTGTAAATGATCTTCCTGACAGTGGACTGGTACAATTTTTGGGAAATATTTTGGTAGCCGCAGATTGCCTCCCATCGACCGGTACGCTCCCACAGAGCGGGCCTCCTCAGGGTGCCGTCGGCCAAACAGTGTCGGCTGGCGACCCCCAGGGGGAGGGCCTTCTCTGTGGGAGCTCCCACCCTGTGGAATGAACTACCCCCAGAGATCCGGAATAATCCGGATCTCCCCTCCTTCCGCCGGGCCCTCAAGACATGGCTTTTCCATGTTCGCCCTAACCGGATCCCCCCCTAAAATATCCCTAAAATTTCCCTAAAATATTATCATTTGAATTATGTCCAATAAATTATATATAAAATTAAACCGAAAATCTCTATAAATAACATAACGTGACAAAAATAAATGGACATTCGGCGGCTGAGTCCCTCGGGAGAAGGGCGGGGTATAAATGGGAAAAATAAATAAAATAAAAATAAAATAAATAAATAACCATGTCTGCCCTGGTAAGCATTAACAACTGTTTTTCAGATTGCCCTCAAAAATCTCCTCCTTTCCATCCATAATACATTACCACATACAGTAGTTGTGTGATGAAAATTAATCTTTGATAGTTAAATATTCTGAATTCCACTTTTTAAAATAAGTGCAGGACTTCTCACATTCACACCTAGTTATCCCATTGATTAATCATCCCATTGATTAAAATTTTCCCTTCAAATGAACTGATAATCCTACATACATACACCTTACATACAAATGCAGTACGTAGCTTTGGAACGTTTTCCTAAATAAGTAAATGAACAAGTATGTTTTTGATTCAATTATTTGATTGGGCTACCTTTATCTAATTTTAGGACTTGTGTAGAGGACAGATCATGTTTTGGTCATATTTATGCAGACAATTGAACATTCAAAAGAGTTCACCAACTTTTAAGCACCATTATATATTACATAGAAATAGAGAAATTACTGTATTAAATACCCGCATTTTATTTGTGTTATATTCTAATTGTTGGTTTGATGTGAAGGTAGTCATCAGTACATCTAATATTGTAAAAGAACAAATAATAGATTTTTACAATTATAATTAAAACAACCATATTGTCAGCAATCAAAATAATAAGGCATTTTGCTCTGTGCACAGGAAATACAGCTTCTTAAAATGTGAATCACAGCTTCTTGAAGTCTGTTTTCCTCACTAGTTCTTGAGAAGAATTATAGCCATCTTTCTGATTCGTTTGAGATTATGGAATAATCTCTGATGTGTTTTAAACTCTCAAAGAAAAGGTGGAGTGTAAATGAAACTAATTGATAACAAAAAAGCAATATTCAGAATGTAGGAGCCTTTAAATTTTGTTTTGCCATGCATAAAGACTTTCTTATAGTCCGAAGAAAAGACTGCAAATTTTTTAATAGCTATTGTTATTTAAACCATCACATGAATTTCATTGCATTGCATGAAAATAAACAATTTTATTTCATTTCATTTAATTGTAAATAAATTGTAAGGAACTTTCATATTGTGCACTTCATTGCTAGCAAACATATTATTTTGTCTCTTTTTGAGATCTACATATAAATTCTGGATCTACATATAAATAAACTCTTAGGGCACACAAATATAGAATTTTGAATTTTGAAATGTAAGACTCTCTACTCACTAGAATATATCTGTTGAGAGAGAGCACGTATAGGATAATTCTCTTAACACTACAGGCAAGAAAATGGATGCAGTACAACAGATTTCAACTTAATACTGCATGCTGTCCATTTCCTAAACATTAACAAAAACAACTTATATGCAATTGAAGTAGACTGTAAGTAGCTTTTCATACAGAAATTTGATGCCAAAGGAGCAAAACATTATAAACTGAAGATTCCCTGAGTAAACTCCTCATTATTTTCATGTGCAATGAGACCTTTTTGTGATGGCATGGTACATTGGACTATTGGAGAGAGAACAGTATCAGTTATAACAGTCTATTTTGGAATGGATAAAGGCTTTCCCACCTCAAGTGCTGCTGTTTCTTTGTCATCCTAACCTTGTTCCAACCATCCTGTGTCTTAATACATAAGTACTACTACAGCAATGCATAAGATTCAGAAGGACCATAGTGGAAACTATAGATATATTTGCATGAATGTGCTGGACTTTGAAAAGGGAGCTCAGTAGTGACCTAGATTCAAGTTGCAACCATGCCATGGACATGCTCATTGGGTGGCTTTGGGCCCGCCATTTTCTCTCAGCATAAACTAATAGGCAGACTGGTTGTGACAAAATAAGAAACGATCTCTGTGCAAAACAGACTTGAGGTCTAAGAAAAAGATAGTCTAAATCAAAAACAAATAAATGTGTGTCAGTGTGCTTAAGAAAGTGGTGGATTTTGGGGAGTGTTTGGTTTTAAGTGTACGTATGCAATTGATTAGCTCTGAATTAAATAAATAAATATGGGCACGATTGATTTTGAATGTGTAAGAGTTTGTGTGGTTTTTCACGTACGTGCCTTTGATATTTATGTGTCTTCAATGTTTTAGATCAGTGTTTCTCAACCTTGACAATTTTAAGGCATGTGGACTTCAACTCCCAGAATTCCACAGCCAGCATTGCTGGCTGTGGAATTCTGGGAGTTGAAGTCCACATGCCTTAAAATTGTCAAGGTTGAGAAACACTGTTTTAGATCATTTCAACTCCTCTGCCCATTTTTCAATAGACCCAGGCAATTGTTTATTTACTCAGGCATTTCTTTACATAACCCCACCTACATTTTGAGCACTGTCATTCACATGCCCCTAAAAGCAAGTCTAGTTTTTAATTGAGGGAAAGTTAAGCAGTGTTTCTCAACCTTGACAATTTGAGGAGCACTCGGAGGCTCCAGTTAGTCCAAAATGCAGCCGCGCGGGCGGTGTTGGGAGGGACTCGTCGCTCCCATGTAACGCCGTTGCTGCGCGAGCTGCACTGGCTGCCGGTGGCTTTCCGGGTGCGCTTCAAGGTGTTGATTATCATCTTCAAAGCGCTCCATGGCATCG